AATACATTAACAGACATGCAACAAATTTTACTGAACACTAAAGACAATAAGCAGATTCAAATTCAAATCTCATCTAAATGATAGCACTTTCATAAAAAAATTGCCAGAAATCAGTGATTTATCTTTGAAGAGGGTAATAACATGAGGCAAAAAAGAAAAATAAGCTACCTATAAACTTCTAGCACAAGAAGCACTAAAAAGCAGCAACAGTTATTTTGAGCATATCACAATGTCCGCTTACTAGAATAAATCAAATCCATAATGAGACTGGAATTATCATTCATTTCCCAAGATCCCTGTAATTGCTAATGGACACAATTATTATATCAAAATATTAACAGTCATATTAATGAAGGTTAAAAAGCTGTAATTTCAGGCCAAGCACAACACTCAAGAGATTGTGGCAGAAAAATAACAAATTTGAAGGAAGTCAGGATTACATAGCAAGTTTGAAAATAAAAATTATTTCCAGCAACACAGAAATGCTGAAATTAAAAACAAACCACTACACTATTTTAATTCATGCTGATTTGACTTATTTCATACTTTAAAAATGCAATTTGAGGAGAAAACATTGTTCCCTGCTAAGTATATTATTTGTAAAATTGCACAGGTTTAAAAATATACAGGGAATGTGTATATGTATGTATGTGTGTGTGTGTGTGTGTGTGTGTGTGTGTGTGTGTGTGCGCGCGCGCACGCATGCACATTTGTATGTATGAGTGAGTAATGGGGCTTGAATTCAGGGACTGGGTGCTTCATTTGTTCAAGATTAGCACTCTACAGAGCCACAGTTCCACTTCTGGCTTTTTGGTAGTTTATTGGAGACAAGAGTCTAAAGGACTTATCTTCCTGAGTTGGCTTCAAATAGGGATTTTCAGATCTCAGCTTCCTGAGGAGCTAGAATTACAGGCATGCGCCACCAGCCACACAGCCATACAAAGAATTTTTTTAAAAATTTCTACTTATTATGCCACTTTAATTTTTTGATTATCTAATTATTGTATATCTAGCTGGTTATATGTCCTTAAGAATTCTGCTTCTGGTATTCTGTCAAAAAATGGCAGAAATTTAGAGTTGCATTGCATATTGAGACAATATATTTTAGCAATTAATCAAAATAACAATAATCTGATTACAACAGTATTGTTTCCAATAAATACAACTTTAGTTCAATTTTCTATTACAAGAATATTACTATCTCATAACTAACCCACTAGGTGACAAAACGCCCTACTTTTTCAGCCTTTTGAATATCTCATGATAAATTATGAAAATAAAGGATTAAAAATGAAAATACTTTGTTGTAGAAAACTGAAATATTTTACCTAATTCCTTATTTGTATTCTGAGGTTACTTATAATATTTCCTTATCCATACTTATATATAACTGAATAAGCTTGGAGCTCAGAAAAAAAAAGAATGCAAAGAAAAATGAGAGAAAAATTAGCTACACCAACTCACCTCAAAAGAGATGAAATACCCTTGGGTTAGAACACAAAGTAATATGTATAAAACTAATTATTGCCCCCCAAATCAGGTTTTGGAATGTACTAGGAAATAAGTATGAAGATCAAGTATATTCCTCAACAACAATTTTATAAGCACTAAGTTCAGATTCCTATTATTTCAGTAAATAATGTGTAAAACGCCTAACAGAGACTAGTCAATGAAGAGTTCAGCACTAAAATTTAGTCCATGATTGTCTATCAATAATGCAACAAAAGAATATGATGGAAGAATTTGTTTTAACTATCATGACCAATAAAGACTTTACTTACACATTGAAGATTAGGGAGGAAAAAGGTAGGAGGGAAATTCTAAAATGGTGAACTATTGTTAAGACCAAGCAAAGATAATAGAAATGGAGGTATATTCATAGAATAGCAAGCTTCTATAGGGCCTCAATACAAAGGAATGGTGGTATATAGTATATTAAAACAAGGATTTTCCCATTATTTTTTTTCAAGGACTCAAGCTTAGAACAAGTTCCACTGGCTAGGGCCTGAAATGACAATTAATCTACACACATTCACAAAGACTGTACCTCAACTCAAACTGAATGAACATTTTTTTTATTCTCCATCACCTACATCATGTGCATGTGTATGCATATTATACCAAAAAATGAACTTATAGCTGAAAAATAAATAGGGAGAGTGATTCATTCAGAGTTTGTCCTTAGCCCTAGAAATATATGGGATACTCAAAGAGTGGTATTTTACTAGGGGCAGAAAATTTAAAAAATTCTAAAAGCAAGAGGAAGAGATACTACAATCCAGTCTACTGTTTTAGAAATAACCAGAACTTCTAAATTGAGTAGAGGAAAATAGTAATATGCTTTTTGACTTGCACGTCGTTGGTGCTTGTTTGAAACAGGAAGACCACCTGAGCCTACAAGTTAGAGGCTAGTTAGACCTACCTCAAAAAGCAACTTTAACATTAAAACCTCTTTGTAAAATTACCTAGTTAATCTTTTCTAATTAAAAAAATAAAGTATAGAAATCACAGGAATCATAGGGTTAGTGTAACCCTATCTCAAAAACAAATTGAAAGGACTCAAAGCCTGGGTTAATGGGGAGAGAACTTGCCTAACGAATAGCCCTGAGGTCAACCTCCAGTACCACAAATATTTTTTAAAAAGTTAAAAAGGGCAACCCAAAAGAGTCCTAAAGCATCAGGGACAGCATGTAATTACATCTGGGTTATTTCTAGACATGGAAAGTACTATTACTTCAGAAAGACAAGAGATGAATCTATATTTTGCAATATAATTTGACTACAAATTACTTCCTTCCTGCTTCTAATCCTCAAACTCTGGATGAGCAGCTCACTATGGCTTTCAGTCTATTAAATTTGTTTGAGCAAGGCTGATGTAAAAAAAAATTACTTCAAATTAAATCTGTTCTTATAAAATGAATAGAGAAAAGAAAGAACAAGATAGAGAGGAACAAGAATGAAGAACAGAGTAGAAGTAGGAACAGAGAAATGAGAGAAAATTACCTGAATAGCTATTATCAAAAAAGGAAAAAAATTAATCATCAAAATGGAATTGATAGGATAAGAGTAAGCTAACTTTTTACTTGTACCCTTAGGCAGTTCATTTCTTTCAGTGGGAAATGGACGAAAAGACAAATGGATCAGAAAGCTGAAGCTTTGATATAAATATTATGAAATCTGAAGTCTAATAAAAATTCAAAGTAGTAACAATCATAATCATAATTATTCATGCTTGCATTTGTTTAGAGGGCATTTACACTGTCTTAGAAGTTCACAAGCATCTTGAACTGCAAAAATTTAATGCTGGTGTTGGGGGCAGGATAAATAAAAGATATAAGTTTGCAGTGCATTTCATGTAAAAATTACTGGATGAATAAGACAAATAAGAACAGGATCATATAGAAGAGTCACATATGCAAATACTCAAGGGAGGAAGAAGTGGCAGGAAACATCTGAGTGAAAGGGAAATTTAAACTGAGTCATATAATGAGGATGAGTTACACAGGATAGTTGCCATGGGACAAAGGAAAATGAATGATTCAAAAGAATGTCAAAGACAGCTAAGATCCAAAAACAACATGATATGTCTTTTTAAAAAATGAGAAGATTTCAATGTCAGTAAATACATTCTGTTTAGAAGGAAAGAATGAGGCTAAAGACATAAAGAATCTCAGAAGACATGCCACAAGCCATTTCTGAGTTTACCCTGGAGACTATAGAAGCCACTGAAAAGTTTGAGTAACACTCAATTTTCATGCTTTACACATTTAGCATATGCTAAGCATTCTTTCAAATTTTTAAATTGTTTTTCCTCACAACAACCCTGTGAGGTAGGTGTAATGATTCCCAATTAACAGCTTAAAAAAAACAAGTTGTTAAGCAATTTACACTTGATTAAATAGCTACAAATGACAGTCAGTATTACGAATACACTACAGAAAGCATTAGGAAGATGATACACATATACAAACACATATTTACCCACAAGACACACAGCAATTTCAATAATTTAAGGCAATTTTAAAGTACTAAATTGTTGTTAATGTATTAAAGATAAGGTGGTTTGTGGCACAAATAGTTCTTTATTCAAGTTTATATATTTAAATTTTCAACTAATTCGATATGCATTGAAAAATCAACCTCAATTAATAATGTAACTATTTGTAATGACATAACCATGTGACAATACATAACTATTTGATAATATAAAGACTCTAAAAAGTTATGGTAATTATATGAACTTAATTTTGTATGCTTTGATCTACCTAAGATTATTTATGACAAAAAGTAAACCTTCACAGTTACTTCCAAAATATGAACTAAAATAGCATGTTATTCCATGAATATAAATTATATTTTTGATTATAAAAATAGTATATGTATAAAAACATGTATCAAGGTATTGTCATTTACCTATTACTATTAAATTGAAACACTGGTAGATCTACTATTTATCAAATCACAATAATTTGTTCAAAAATCTGATAAAATAATATCTGAAATTTATGTGGGATGAATATAAAATCTATTTGGGATGGATACAAAAACATCTCCAACTTAAAAGATATATATTGAAAATATTTAAAGATGTGTAATATTATTTTATATCACATGAAATCTACATTTCTTATCCCTCCCAATTTTCTTGTCTATTTCACTACATCTCACATTAATATTTTTATATATCCTATGTGAACGTTAGACACTATTAGAACATTACTAATGGAAGAGTAAGTACATATCACTGTGTTTTTATTATCTTTAAGCAGTTGTTCATTACGTATTTTGAAATATGATTTATGCTTTACTTCTTTTCCTATTACAAATAAAAGTGTAGAATGAATAGTATGAAAAGTATATTTTATTCAGATCTACTTTTATTCTTGTGTTTGTAAGTTCCAAAAGTATTAGGTAAACAAATAGCAATTATATAATTCCAATCACAATGCTAGCCTTTCACAATAGGAGAAAAGATAATTTCATTAAAAAAATTAAGCACAGTGCTCACTTTGGCAGCACATATACTAAAACTAAGACAATACAAAGAAGCTTAGCATGGCCCCTATGCAAGGTTGACATACAAATTTGGGAGAATTCCATATTTTTGAAAAATAAAGTACAGATATTATATAGTATCTGTATATAACATCTGTATATATCATATATATTTATGGAATGATTAAAAATTCAGATACAATTTATCTGAAGTCCTAACAGTTTATTTTTATAAAGCAAAGTATTTCCATTAAATCCAGGTAATACAAAAGTGAATTTTAAAAAAATGAATATCTAATTCTCTCCCCTAATCCCATATACTAGACATATATTATTAGATTCACATGGCTAAAAACTAAATCTAAGGCAGTACTTTATGAATAAAATTATTTCCAAATTCATAGATATTCTGTAGTCATTCACAGTAAGTGCTTTAAAATTTAAATAAATCAATAGTGCCTTATGAATACATGGATTGGAACTGCAGATAACTGTACATATTCAAAAATGTTCATTTATTTGAGTGGTTCTATTCTGCTCTAGATAAACTGAATCTAATAACTGATCAAACTCATTATCCACACTAATTCTGTAACAGTTAAATATTTGTATAATTTTAAAATATATATACACTAGGTAGAATATGAGCCTTTTCACCCAAACTTAATAGAAGAGACATATGGTCTGTTCCTTCAAGTGACTGTCATTTCAATGCTTAACAGAAGAAAAGGATTAAATAATACAATTACACTTTTAAAATGTTTAAAAAATCAGTAATTCCAACATTCCATACATTGATAAAAAATATCATCTTGTTAGACAAATGCACTACAGTATGGCTACACTAGATTTTAAAAATCATTTATTTAATTAGTTTTCTGACTATTCAATGAAATGGCACATTCTGGGCAAGCAAAAAGGGAATACCCTAATGAAAAAAATGTGAGGTTTTTGGTAACATTAATTCTCAGTTCAGTATTTTTTTCTAATTTACTTGATTCTTCCTTTATAAAGATAATAAGAAATGCAATGGTTTCTTTTCCTAAAAAAATGCATTTCAAAACCATCTGACTATCTCTATTTCAAAGTCATACATAGCTGAAAATTGACCTCCTGTTTAAATGGTTTATCATCAGCATTTAACACAAATGATATTCTAACTATAACAAAGTCACCTGCACCCAAATATCCTAGTTACAGAAGGACAATTATCAATACAAATGATTCTACCTGAGATAAACAGGAAGATTTTCTAAAAAGTGTCTCTAGAAAAACATTTTTCCACACACTTCATTATATAAGAAAGCCATGGTGTTATCTTTCACCTTCTTTCAATGAAAATCTACAGACACAGATGAGTGCAGCTATATGATTTAACGTATGACATATAATGTAAAGTTACCCAAACCAAATGAAACCACAATGTCTTTTGATTAGGAATCTGGGAAAATGAATAGATCCTAGCCTTTTTTACAAAGAAATGCTTAAAGGTTCAAAAACAGATACAGAACAAATCATACTATTGACAAAAAAACCTTACTAAAGTAATAAAATAGAATAATAAATATTGTATAGTGTAGCAATACATACATATGTTTCTAATACTATTTTATTAATTGAAAAGGCATAATGTGTCCAACTATTACTACATAAAGCAATCTTCTAAAATAACATAAAAGAATTCATTTAATAAATCAGAATAAAATGAAGTTTAAGTAAATACTACTTCTTCTCTAGCATGCTTTGTTTCATTTTTTTTCTTGTAAGAAAAATTAATACACTGTGTTCCTTAACTAGAGAATCAAAACCAAGTTCACTGTAAACTGGTTTTGGTGAAAAGCTTCAACCAAAAGGAAGCATTAAACCTAATACAAAATACTGTAAGAAAAGCTAATAAGATATTCCTGGATTTACTAGTTAATTGCATGGTTCTAAAATCTAAGATTTCTTTGGCTATTTGAAAATGTTTTCTAAAAATAATTTGATTCTTTTCAGTTGCATTGAAAATGAATTTATAAACACATTTTAGTTTGATTTGCTTTTAGAATAATTTCCAAAGAGTGGTATATGTATGTATTTGTTATCTAATTTGATACTGATCACAAATTAAATGACCTTAAAAAAAATTAGAGCCAGGGAGAGCAGTGCTAAGTGGAACTGACCTAAATAGATTTAATATGATGTTTCCCAGCTATCTGCTATTTTACCCATCTGGGGCAGGTACACAAGAAACTTACAGTCTATGTAGTACTCCTAGTCAGTGTCACTCTGCAGATGGCACAGTGGAGAAATACCTTCTGTACAGGACCATGTGCAATTTCTTCTGCAGTTGTCAGCACCTAGGGGAAAGTGCGCTGTTAAACAGTTGCTGCGTTCCACCTCAGAAGTGGCTGCAATTCGGTGGTGGGTGAAGTGATTCCTGTACATATATACAGGGATGAAAGGTACTATAGAAAATGAAAATATTGAAGATCAAAAGTGGCTGCGTGCAAACAGTGCCACAGTAAAACAGAATACATCATTCATTCACAAGAGATCTACAAAATGGATTGTTACCCCTTTAAAACGGAATGTTCAGAATGATTGATTGAGAGAAACACAGAAATACAGTTGTTTAGGTCACAATTACAAACCAAATTAAAATATATTAAAATGTATTCTATCCCAAACATTTTATAGTTACTAATAATTTCATTTCTATAGTAATTAACCTAAAACCAGGCAAACATACAATAAGATTCTACGTTCAGCTAATTAAGAAATGCTTTGCTTTTAGATGAAAAGTCAACAGAGAAAACAGCATAAATAAGTGAGATACCAAAACTGAGACACACAACATATAAATACCTGAAGTGAAGCATAAGAAAAATCTCAATTATTTTATATTTTTAAAAACAAATTTTATTAAAGAAACAGTCTTCAACAACTATCTATATTAAATTACTTTTCCTATAATGAAATGACTTCACATAAAAGGCAAAATTTTGTTCGCCAAAATTAAATCAATTAAAATTTAGATAATTTTTATCCTTCGTCCATATTAATAATGAAATAGTCAGGAGTGAGGTAACTTTGTTTCACTGATACAAAAGTTATTCCCAAATCTTAATTTTACAATAATATGACTTATCTTAATGGAATCTGATCAAATTAGGTAACTGTTCTTTGATGCTATCTTTCTGGTCTATCTTTAAGCACAGCTACTATGTTCTTACTGCTCTAAAGAATTATCAACATTATTTCAAAGTATTCCCATTTAAATTTCTGAAACAAGCATACATAATACTACACATACAAAACTGCCAAATATAGGTTGTGTAATGCTGCTACATATTCCAGGAGTCTGCAATTGCCAAAAAAATTATGATTTTGTGGTAAAGTCTAATAAACTTGACCATTAAAATGTGTTCTATAAATGAAATGTTTCTAAATCTCACTTGCAAAATAAATAACAGAATACACTTAATTTGGCATATACCCTGTGCAGAGATGGCTTTCATTCTCCTTTAAGCTTTTTAATTTCTTTATACAGTAAGGTATAAATATTTTCTTTTAGTGATGATGGTGGTATAGAAAAGAAGATTAGAGCTTCACATTACCTATTATTTAAAAAGACAAAAGAGCAGGGATTCCCAGCCTAGGGTTCCCTTAAGGTTTATGAAACACAAAATTTTGTAAAATGGACAGTAAACATGTGACATACCAGCACATACATTTTTCTAGGAGATTTAAGCCATAGTTTTTGCAAGGTTCTCAAAAGATTCTGTGACTCTCTTGACTAAGTTTAAGGAAATATTGGTAAAGAGTACATCAGAAAGTAAATATGCAGAAGTAATCTTTTTTAAAATTAAATGTGTAATTCTGGGCACCTATTTCTTTTCATGTGAAATTAAGAACATGCATTTATAGGGATGTTTCTACAACTAAATAAAAACACTCAGATATGTAAGGCATACATTATAACACCTGGTCTATTTTATCAAGCAAACTAAAAATTTTTCACTCTTACATGAATAACTTCATGATACTACTTGTAGATATGTATTCTATTACTAATATCATGAGTCATACACATCTGTATTACTTCACATACAAAATTTCCAATACAGGTTTTATAATTCTGCTATATATCTCATGAGTCTGCAATTCCCAAAAAACCACAACCAGTCTTCCTTATTCTTGAAATCTACTTAACTTGCAATAGTGTCAGATGTTGATAGAAAACATGTACTCCATGTACTTATATTAAATAATTTCATTTTATTAGTTTTCCAGTCACACAATAGCATATAACTAAAACCTAAATTTGCTGATCCTAACAAGGAATTTTATTTTTTAAGATAACGTAATTAATACTTTAGCTGTTATAAATCATTTCTCTAACTTTCAAAGTTAGTTTTTTTTAATGAGAGGACAGCAATAAGAATTTGTATACACCTTCTGAAAGAATTCTTGAGTTACACCACATAGATTAATTTCAACTTTAAAACCAATTCACAATTCTACCAATAGTATTATAAATACTTAAGAGTGCTACTGAAGATTGTGGAAGCTTGTAAATATTCACAAGAAATTAAGAAGTGTATTCTTACCATATATTAGGGACACTGAATGAGGATACACTTGGTAATACAATGAAATGAATAACAGCATGTGATACAAATATACAACTGTTTCACAAGCATTACAAACATAAAGAACTTCCTCTAGAGTCTTCACATCATAGAAATTACACTTTAAACATCCATACATTAAAAAGCAGAGACAGCTATAGAAAAAAAGATTTTTAAATAATGGCATAGGAGGGAAACACAGTTTAGGATTTACAATATGAAAAAAGGAGGGGAGGTGAGTTGGACAAAATACATGTGAGGATGAGGAAAAAGGTAAAGCTCTAAATATGATAGGGAATTCTAGGATGGTTTGGACTAAGATTGGCAGTCAGGAAAGCATTTTATAAAAATCACCCAAAAGCAACATGGAAGATAAATCAGAGATGTGGATGACTCCATGAAGGGGATGATTATGGAATATGCAATTGGGAAAAAGAGCTATAAAAATTAAAATTATGAGGCTAAAGATACAGATCAGAAGCAAAGGCCTTTGGTCCT